CGCAATATGGTTCATGGGGTCACGAAGAGTCAGACACGACTTAACGACTAAACAACAACTTCTCTGAGACTGGATCTTGGTTCCTTCATCATCAGAGTGAGGGCACTTACAAATTCATTGTTAAAATTAATAAATCACCATTATCCAGGTTCCTTAGCCCCAATTATTTGTTGGGGTTGTGAAATGTTAGTTCAAAAACCATGAGGAGGAGAAAGGATTCATTCCTAGCTCATGGAGAACCATGAGGAGAAGAGAGAAAAAAATGAGGGAAATGGGGAAAAAAAGGCGGGCTCCCAGCCCCGCCCACACAAAGCAGCAAAGCTAGGCCGCAGTGGAGCCGCCCCTCCCTTTGTGCTCATGTGAGACAGGCTTGGTTAAAACCCCACATTTTCCAACATTATTAAGGGATACAAAGCCAGGTTTATCCCTACGCTCTTATATGGAGCTGAAGTTTGGGGCTTAAGACATGTACCATTACTAGAGCAATCACAATCACAGCATCTAAGAAGTATTTGGGGTGTGGAAAAAAGCACACCCCAAAAACTACAACTCAATTGCTGTAGTTAGAGCTGAATTGGGAATTTATACAATCTGTTCTTTGCCTAAAATCAGGGCATACAATTTTTGGTACAAAATCAGTGCTATGGAAATTGACCGACTCCCAAAATTGTGTACAGACTAAATCTCAACTAGAGACCTTTTGGATTGCACAACCAGCAAATTATATCAGGAGCTGTAGTCTCCCTGTTTCTTTCCAACTGTCTCTGGAAAACAAGTTAAAAAGATTGCTGCACAAGGAATTTTGGATATAGAAGCTCAGAGTTATAGCTGCTGTCAGTAAGGTCGGCACGTTGAATGGATGAGCCACTATAAATTCACCTTCTGAATTGCCAAATATTTAAACACAGAAATGCCCAAGCATCTTAGGGGGGTATTTACTTGAGTGAGATTTAAGCAGCTGGACACAACGGTTAAATATGGAAGGTTTAACTAAGTGCCTTGCAATGAATGTACTTGTATTTGCAGAGCCCCAGAGGTAGAGGACATAGCTTATATATTATTTGAATGTCAACTGTATAAGAAAGAGAGAGATCAATATCTTGGACCACACATTAGACGAATGGCCTATTGGGACCCTTACATTAAACAACATATTTCATGTGTGGTTAGGACTCAGAAATTACATATAATACAGACCTTTATCAGAACAAAGCAGTACAGTTGAGAACTGCATATGTGGATCTGATTTGAGCAAGTTGTAGGGGTGACACAGAAATATGATTTGCATTTTTTTTTAGTTCTGCCTTTTAACCTATTTTGTAACACATAGTCTTTTATTGTTCTGTATTTTATATTTTGTATTCTGATATGGCCTAATGGCTAATCAATAAAGCATTATCATCTAGTCTAGAGCCCTGATATAGCTATACTTACAGAGATAGTAATCAGGCAGAATTAGGAAGGGCTACAAACTGCCCCATTTCTTGGGAATAAATATCATGAGCACAAAAGAAGGTCCACTAGCCTAAAACAAACAAACAAACACCAAAAAAGCGATCCCTAAAAATCCACTTGTGATCTTAATCAGGTCTTTCTACTGGAAAAGATGCATACCTCTTAATGTAAAGTTGAAACCTTGGCTATATGCTGGCTCAATTTTGCCCTCAGCTTTGCACTTATATTGACCCAGTTCACTGCTAGAATTGAC